TAAGGAAAAGACGCAGGATGGAGCAAACCTCTTCCTTCTAGTCTGAGGCCACCCACAAAGTGGGCGGGTGTATCCAAACAGGGGTCATCTGAGAACATCCAGAAGGATTTTGGGAATCCCAGGAAGTGGCATTTCCCAAAGCTGTGAGATAGAGGAATATAATTTAGTCTTACCTCTACACACATGAGCAGTGACACAAGGAAACCAGGACTGGACTTGGACAGGGCCCATAAGCAGTAAAAGAATCAACAACTAAGGCCAATGAGAAGCGGCTTGGTGAGCCATTTGGAGGGATCTAGCGGTCCATTTAGGAACAAAGGGGTTTATGCCATTAGCCCCTTCCTTGATTGGCTTAAAGAAGGAACCGAAAGGCCTGCTGCCTAGTGAAGGATGGGGTCATGTGACTGTTGTTGGACTTTTGTTTGTTTGTTCTAGGATCAGCAAGTAGGTACTGCTGAACTCCAGCGCATTCTGAATGGGAAAATAGATACAAGTAAGCATTTATTGTTTCCCTGACTGGCTGTGCTCTTCCCGTCCCCTTTTCTCTAGTTTTCTCCCAAATTGTCTCTCATAGTTTTTCTGCATTCTCATTTTATTTGCTGGTAAGTTCTTGTTTCTTTGGTTTTTCCCCTCTGTTCTGTATGTCTTTTGCTCCCTCTAGAGGGCAATTCGATATTGCACAGGTTTATTTCCAGCATATTAAACGGCAGGTTTTTATGCCAGACATAAATCTGTGTGATATCGAATCGACCACTAGAGGGAGCAAAATATGTGCAGAACAGAAAACACACACACACCGACAAAACAGGAGCTTACCAGTGAGTGAAAGGTCCTGTACCTGGGTTGTGGGGAGTTGGGACTGGGAATCCAACTGGTGCTGGTGCCGAGAGTAAAGAGTTTAGGGGTGCTTCCAGATCCTTCTCTTTCAGTGGAGGCCCAGGTCATTGCCTTTGCTCGATCGGCCTTCTATCTTCTGTGGCTGGTCAGGCAACTGGTTCCCTATCTCACTTCCCAGAATTGGCTACAGTGATCCATGCAATGGTAACTTCTAGACTCGATTATTGTAACTTGCTTTACGTGGGGCTGGCACTGAATTTGACCCGGAAACTGCAGCTAGTCCAGAATGCGGTGGCACATATGCTGATGGCCAGGTGTCATTTCGTAGAAAAAGAGGTTCAGAAGCTCATTAGCATAACTCATCAGCATAACTTATTTGCATATGCCACACCCCCTGACATCACCGGAAGTGTGTCAGAAGGCAACACCCACCACTCTGGCTCTACTGGACTGTTTTGGATTCCTAGCTATGGAGGCGGGGGGACGTGCAGATCTGTCCTCACAGAGGAGGGAGAGCTTGTACCTGAATAAAACTTGGTCTTAAAGATGCTGCTGGACTGTTTTGGGCTGGGGGCGGGGCTCTGCAACTTATCTGGCTGCTTCTTGCTCTGACTGAGGGCTGCTGGGAGCAGGGGGCGGGGCTTGTTGCATGTGCCCGCCCCCTGGGCTCGTTACTGCCGGAGCTCTGCTCCTGTGCGCTCCTGCAGGAAATGACCCCTGCTGATGGCAACACCTGTGCGGGCTCACATTCAGCCGGCGCTGCGCCAACTGCACTGGCTGCCAATAGAGTACCGGATCCAGTTCTGGTGTCAACCTTCAAAGCCCTATGTGATCAGGAACCTGCATATCTTCAGGATCGCCTCTTCCCATATGTGCCTTGCAGAGCATTGTGCTCAACTGACCAACACCTGCTGGTTGTCCCCGGCCCCAAGGATGTCCGGCTAGCCTCAACCATGGCCAGGGCTTTCTCTGCTTGGCTCCAGCTTGGTGGAACAAGCTCCCACTTGAGTTTAAGGCCCTCCGGGATTTGTTACAGTTCCGCAGGCCCTGTAAAACGGAGTTGTTCCGCTGGGCTTTCGGGCTGAGGCGGCGGACATCCAAAATCCATCTCCAGCCTCTCCGACTGAAATCGCCGGCTCTGTGATCAGCCTAAACTGAGCACAGCTAACAAGGCTTTTGCACTGATGGCGTGTGTTTCTTTAATAATTGTTTCAAAATGATGTTTTTAGGCTGCGGTCACACGGAGCATTAGGCATGCTAGAGAGACGGAAGATAGGCGGATTTTCCGGGTGCGATCTCACCGCCACATCTGGGAAGCGTAGAGCTCCCGTGGCGAACCCGAGGCTTCCCGCTGAAAATGCGGGGTAAAAAACTAGTACCTCCGAGGAAACTGCGGGGCAAGGGTGAGCGTCTGATCGCGTTTCCGGCGGTAGTTCCGGCGCTCGCCCATGTCCCCTCGCAAAAAGGGTTTTTTTCCCCATGTCTCCACAGATGCGCACAAGCACCCAACAGAGCATGCACATACTTCAGTTAAAAACACACACATCCCCGTTTGCCTCGCCGCCCCGCTTCTTTGCGGCGCGGCCGGATTGTGGTGTGATCGGCACCTCCCCCCTAACCACGGGACCTCCACGGGAGGTCTGATCCAACAACCGCGCGTTATTTTGCCCCCCCGGGGCAAACAGCCACGGGGAAACAGCCACACTCCCCCCCCCGCATTTTCCTGCCTGTGTGAACGGAGCTTTAATTATTTAACGTACATGTTATTGTTGTCATGATTTTTGTGTGACCTTGTAACCCACCCTGATCCCATTGGTGGGGAGGGCGGGATAGAAATCGAATTAAATAAATAAATAAATAAATAAATAAATGAGAATGTGAAAAAGCCCATGCAGGATTTTAGATAGGCCACATAAAAAGCTGGCAATCTTAGGACCAGCACACCCTTTAATTGAACCAGTAGACTTCATTTCCACACACCCCTCCCAGTTGAGAACAGAATCTGGAGTCCAAGTTCATTCTTTCTCTCTCTCTCTCATCCATTCAATGCTTCTATATGTTTTGTGCCAGTAATAACGCCCTCTTCTCGCAACTCTGTTTTCCAGTGGCTCTGAAGCCTGATGGGTTTTCCCTGGAAGCCTGCGGAGAAATCATCCAACATTTCAGTGTATCCTTTTGCAGAAGAGTCACTACGGGCTAAATATTAAGGAGAGTGCAGGTTCATCTTGTAGGCCCCCCGAAGAATGCTCCCCCGGCAAAAAAAAGCCAGAATTCCTTCTTCTTCATAAGCATTGTTTGGATCAGCCAGTGAAGGCCTCAGGTCCAAGCCTGGACACTTAGCTCTTTGTCGATCCAAAAGCAAGAGAGAAATCTGGGAGAGTGCCCGCGTGAGTTCCCCTTTGCAGAAGTGCTGCATAAGACCAAGATTGGCTGTGCTCTATCTCTGCCACCCACCGGTGGCTTTTCTGAGGCTCATCATACCTTTCCAAGGCACAGGGCAAGAGCATAGCTAGTGGGTGGCAAACGTAGTCGCTCCAGCGGGCTGTATTTCGGAGGGTCCCTATGGTGATCTTCAGTAGAGCAACTCGATTCAAGTCCAGAAACCCCTGAAAGACTTGCGAGAGTTTCGAGGTATGATAAAAGGTAAAGGTAACGGTTCCCCTTGCTCGAAAGCCAGTCGAATCCGACTCTAGGGTTGCGGTGCTCATCTCCGTTTCTGAGCCGAAGAGCCAGCGCTGTCTGAAGACGTTCCCGTGGTCGTGTGGCCGGCATGACTAAACACCGAGGCGCACGTAACGCTGTTCCCTTCCCACCAAAGGGGTACTTTCGAACGGCTAGGTTGGCAGGAGCTGGAACTAGAGATGGGAGCTCACTCCGTCGAACTGCTGAACGACCGACCTTCCACAGCCTGCAAGCCGGAACTCCGTTCCTGTGCGTTCCTGCCCAGAAATAGCCCAGGTTCCTAGGATGGTCTTCAGTGGAACAACTCGATTCAAGTCCAGAAGCCCCTGAAAGACTTGTGAGAGTTTCGAGGTATGATAAGGGTTACCATATTTTGAAAAGCAAAAAAAGAGGACTGACTACTTCAAACAAGTGATCACTGTGACAAATCTCATTTGAAATATCCCGACTACTGAAGCTGTGATATTCCTAAACTTCCTTGTTTTCAAATAACAATAATTTTAATTGATTTACTTAGGCTAAAAAATAGCAACGGACACCAAAAAAGAGAGGGCATGTCCCCTTAAAAGAGGACAGCTGGTAACTCGAAGGGATGAGCTTTCGAGGGTTGAATCTCCTATCACTGGCTTTGTTAAGCCCCTCTCTGCCGTCCTCTTTTTATTGCCAGGTAAAGTAAAGGTAAAGGTCTCAAGGGATGAGCTTTCCAGGGTTGAATCTCCCATTCTTCCATCACTGGCTTTGTTGAGCCCCCTCTCTGCCGTCCCCTGTTCCTTCCTCTTGTAGAAAAGCAACCAGTATACGAATTCATTTTCCTTAACTAGGCAACAGACCCAGGGGACAGGCAAGCTCACATTCGGTGAATTTAAGCAACTATGGGCAAAAATAACTGAATGGGAGGTGAGTAGAGGCGTAAAAGGCCAGGTTTGAGAGCCCTCTCTGCCTCTTGGTCGCTGCTGTCGCGGCCAGTCCCGCGTCCAGAAGATCCAATATGTATGCTGTCCACTTCTGATCCGTATGTGACACTAGCTCGCTCTCACGTGCATAAGAGCCCACAAGATGCTAACCTCTTCCATATCTACTCCACAGGGTATCTTCACCCAGTACGACTTGTACTTCTGCGGCAGAATGAACATCAGTATGATTCGGGAGGCTCTCGTCTTAACCACTTGAGCCACCGCAGCTCCTTTTTATTGCCAACCAATAGACTCATTCTTTTTCCTTAACGAGGCAACAGACCCAGGGGACAGGCAAGCTCACGCTCGGTGAATTTAAGCAACTTTGGGCAAAAATAATTGAATGGGAGGTGAGTAGAGGCGTAAAAATCAACAGGGCAAAAGGCCTGGTTTGAGAGTCCTCTCTGCCTCTTGGTCGCTGCTGTCATGGCCAGCCCTGCGTCCAGAAGATCCAGTATGTATGTTCTCTACTTCTGATCCGTATATGATACTAGCTCGCTCTCACATGCATAAGAGCCCACAAGATGCTAACCTCTTCCATATCTACTCCACAGAGTATCTTCACCCAGTATGACTTGTACTTCTGCGGCAGAATGAACATCAGTATGATTCGGGAGGCTCTGGAAGCTGCAGGTGAATGTGTTCTGTTCCTGTACCGACTTGTGAATGATTCTCCCCCCACCCCGTACTGATACTTAGGCCCTGACCTGCAATGGCCCAGGCGAGCCAGATCTTGTCAGATTTTGGAAGCTAAGCAGGGTCGGCCCCGGTCAGTACTTGAATGGGAGACCACCGAGGACGTGCAGGGTTGCTACAGAGAGGCAGGCAAGGGCAAGCCACCTCTGAACATCTCTCGCCTTGAAAACCCTACGGGGTCACCATAATTCGGCTGCGACTGGAAGGCACTTTCCATCCCCCACTGAGACTCACTGGCAGGGATCTCCATGGGTCAACATGTTATCTGTTTGATCCATTGCAGTTCAGTTCATGGGAGGAACCAAAATAATGGGCATTTCCGCATTCTCATTTCCCTCTTGTGTGATCCTGTTGCCTTGGGTGTTTTCCCCCTGTTGCATATGTGTTTTGCTCCCTCTAGTGGTTGTTTCGATATTACATTGCATTATGTCTGGCATAAAAACCTCCAGTCTAAATCTACAGGGAGATATGCCAGGCATTAACCGATGTAATGGAACTGCGGTGGCTCAAGTGGTTAAGATGCTGAACTACAGGCTGTGGAAGGTCGGTCGTTCAGCAGTTCGAGACCCGAGTGTGCCGCATGACGGAGTGAGCTCCCGTCTCTAGTTCCAGCTCCTGCCAACCTAGCCGTTGGAAAGCAAGAAATTGCAAGTAGATAAATAGGGACCACTTCGGTGGGAAGGGAACAGCGTTCTGTGCGCCTTGGTGTTTAGTCATGCCGGCCACATGACCACGGAAACGTCTTCGGACAGCGTTGGCTCTTCGGCTTGGAAACGGAGATGAGCACCGCAACCCTAGAGTCGGACTCGACTGGCTTTCGAGCAAGGGAACCTTTATCTTTTTTAACCGATGTAATAGGGAATCAACCACTACAGGGAGCAAAACACAGGCAGGAAAACAGAAGTGAAGAAAATTAGAATGCGGAAAAGCCCAGTCACTGGAATCTTGTATTTTGCAATTCTAAAAAATGACAAAACTTTTTTTTTAAGTGACGGTTCTCAGGAAGATGAATTGTGGAGCTCATCACCAATGTTCCCTCTAAGCCGAGTTAGTGTGAGTCAGCTCACAATTTTCTAGCCTCCAGCTCACACATTTTTGTCTCAGCTCAGGAAGGAGGGCTCCAGAGCAAACTAATTGATGCAGTAGCCCAGGGGTCATTTCGTAGAAAAAGAGCGAGGGGGACTCATTAGCATAACCCATTAGCATATGCCATACCCCCTGACATCACCAGAAGTGTGTCCTCCCCACAGCCAGCGGCGACCTCCAGCGGGCACCAGCAGGGAGCTCCAGGCCCCGCCCTCCCGCACCTCACCCGGGGGGATGGCGTCCCCCCGCATCCCCCTCCCAAATGACCCCTGCTTGAAACCATAGTTTGGAACCCTGTGGTGTAGTGACTTTCATGTCCTAGTA